CGGTCTCTAGCAAGACACTATGACTACCTATCTCGAATAGAGTTTGTTCGTGATCTTACGAACGCCAACGATGATTGCGGTTGATGATCCTTTTGTATCGCGATATCATATGTCGAACATAAGGCATGGACAAGCCACCTTATCTGATTCGACTGCTTTCTCGTTCACTGAGTTCGACTGTCTGAAATAGACGATGTTCATCTATAGTGCGGCCACACATTTCTACAGTCTCACTCACACGAAGGGCCCATCGATATCTCTCTCTTTTACGAGAGGTACAAATCTCGTATTGACTATCTACAATCCAGCACATGATTCGTTTCGTACCTGATACACGCCTTTATAGTCCTCCTGTTACGCAGGACGTTTGACGTATTCAAAGCACGCAACACCTCATGTTGGATTCCGTAGATATCTCAGGTCTTAGGATCCAATCATGGAACCACCATATGAGATTCAAGTCATGACGCTAGTCCATGTGACAATCTCATGCGGGTCATTCCGGTATTCCGTTCTCCAACGAATACCTATAATTGTGATCGTATCCAATACCTATGATCATCTCTATGATCATCAATCACATATCATACTAGTCTTATTATATCATTATTCCCACAATGATATACGACTAGGAAGTTTAGTATTGTTAATAACAATACATGTATTTCATAACATATCTAGTATGCAAAATACGTAACGAATCAAACACTCATCCATAAATCATAGAAAGCGTCAATACATCAAATGTATCCAAGTAAAGCTCGCAAACAGTACATCATAGAGCACTAAACCAACATCTTTGAGATATACTCTTGTCCCATTTTAAACGTTACAGAGGAGTATTCCGGTCTTTTTTTTACCGTCAGCCCTTAGACTATCGTTTAGAACTCTTGTTTCACAACTTAGACCCGAGCCATTGTTTTTCAATCCACTCATATCATCATTTCTCATGACAGAGGAGTGTCAGAATGTTAGCCTTTTCCTTTTTTCTTTTCTTTCTTTTTTTTTGTCACTCTTGTGAAAAGTATCTGACTGATTCGCAAGTGTTTTTGACTCTCATATTCATTCTCTTAGTCAGACTACCTTCAGAATAGTTTTTCCTCATCAAACATATTTTTCACCGATTTAAATGCAAAAATTATTTTTCATAACTCACAAATCCCAACAAATCTTTGTAAACACATAAACATATTCATCTCATGAGATTTAGTGAATATGTTTGTCAATTGATTTTCAGTGGGAACGTACTTAATGAGTAGTAAAGAGTCAGAATAAAATACCACAATCTGAGAGAATTTGTTTCAACAATACGAGTTACGTGCATCATCATCCTGCAGATCTTTCTCATCTACGTCTTGCTTCACCAATGATATACTTCTCTTTCAAAGTCTGATTCTGCCGGCTCTGTTTGTGAATCTCTTTTATTTTTTTGCTGGTGTACTTCAGAGCCAGTGCAATCTCGCGGGATGTCAAACGTTCCTGGGAGAAAACTGTGAGAAATCATCAATGCAAACATATACGTATCTTTTTCCACCGATGTTCTCAATCTGCATTGGTCTCATTTCCAAGATCTGTGATGTACGGATTCCTTGAACCCTGACTTGCTTAGCATGTTGAGATAACTCTGAAAGACCTCGAGCGGCATCAGACCTAGACAATTTCAGAAATGCACGAGTGTTTATGTGTCTCAATCTTCGGTACCACAGATCCAAAGTCGTATCTATTGCTTTGAAGCACTGTTGTTCCTTGATATTCTCATCCATCCAGGTATAGCAATTATTTGAGGTCTTTCTCCCTGTGAGAATACACTCATTGGTTTGATTAGAAACAAAACATGCATTTTTGGTGAACTTTACCTTCAGCCCATCGTCACACAATTGACTAATGCTGATCAGATTTGCTCTCAACCCTTGCACAACATTCATATCCTTCAGTTTTGGAAGTCCACTGACATTCAGTGTCCCCTTACCTAAGATCTTTCCCTTTTTTTTCCATCGCCAAAGGTTACACTTCCTCCTTTTGTGTTTTGAACAAAGTTTGAGAGAATTTCATGATTTCCTGTCATATGCCTAGAACATCCACTATCAAAATACCAATGATCATTAGTGTTCATCTGTTGAGATGTATAAGCAGCATTACAGTGCAATAAATCCTTTCGTTCCCAACATTGTCTGACTTGACCAGTGAGAGAACAGTGAGACTTACCTGACCTGAAGCGATAAAGATATCAGTTCCTACGAATATGCCCACGTCTACCACAATTGTAACATCTCCGAGTTTCAGTCCAAGAGGATCGCATATCCTCCTTGATTCTTGGAGTTCGTCGAGGAAATTGTTGTACCTCAGCTAGCTTTGGGTATTGTTGTAACTCATCAGAAAGTTGTCCTCCAGATACAAACTTTCTGTTAGTTTTGCTTGCCTCTCCAGTGTACCCTAACCCAGTGTGGTTTGAGTTTTGTCTTCCTTGACTTAGAATGAAATCCAGTTTCTTTGTCCCATTTCCAAGCATATGCAGATTCTTCTTTGTCTCTTCAAGTTGACATTTTGCATTTATCGTTTCTTCAATCTGCTGCTCCAGTTTCTTCTGAGTTTCCTTGAGTTCTGACTCAAGTCTATTCTTCTCCTTAACAAGCTTCATGTTGATGTCATACATCTTCATCAAGTCATCATAAACATCATCAATCTTCAGATCAGCCTCCAGGTCTTCTGTCATTATAATGTCATGCTCATCGATTATTCCGATAAATGCCACATAGTGGTTCAGGGCTTCCTCATCATCTTCCGACTCTGATTCTGAATCTTCATGATTAATTAATGATTTTCCTTTCATCGAGGTTGTGCACTCATTCTTGGTGTGTCTAAAGCCTTTGCACTCATAGCATTGTACTTCTTTCAGGGTTTTGATCATTGCTTCCCTTTTAATGACCGATGGACATTCAGCTTTCCAATGTCCATAGCCTTTGCACTCCATACATTTCCCTCCTGATTTTTCTTCCATCCTCTGTGTACTGCTAGGTCTTTGTTTGAAGAGCTTATTCATCTTTTTAACAATCAGGGACATGTCTTCCTCAAGCTTATTTCTGGGTTCAGATTTCGGAACATGAAATGCAACTGGTTGTTTACGAGATGTTCCTGACGGAGTCTTATACATACTCAGTTCCAGTTCATGTGTCGCGAACACCCTTATAGTTTCTTTGAAACTAACTGTATCAGTATCATAAAATATCTGAAAAGAGGTTTTCTGAGATAAGAACCTGATGGATAAACTCGCTAGGAGTTTCTTCACTAATTTTTTGTCAGAGTATGTTGGCCTCATTCGCCATAGTACTCGGTTTACCACTGAATTCTTTGACAGTTTCATACTCTCCCATTCTGAGTTGATTGAACTGCGCCTTTAATATTTCTCTTCTGGTGCGTTTCATATTTTTTGTTCCTTCAGGATCAACTCCAACGTGTTCTATGCTTCTTTTGCAGTTTTGCACCCCTGAATTTGCTTAAACTCATCTGAATCGACAGTGTTGAAGATTATAGTCAGAGCTTTTGCATTAAGTGTTGATGCCTTTTTCTCAATGAGGGTCCACTGAGAACTGGGCTTGATAACTTTCGTCCCATCATCTCCAATGACTTCCGAAAAATCCCATCCTTCTTCTACAACCCTCCACGCATCTTCATCAAGACCTCTAATCAGATCATGACTTTCACCTTCCAGTAACCATAGTTACTTGAATCCAACAATGGTACCTTCACTAGCGGTTGAAATTCCTTGGATGTCTGCATTGTGCGTCTCTTACCCTACACCGATGTGAGAGGAAATTATCCTACGACCAGTGATCGGACTCTAATACCACTTGAAATAACTGACGCACTCATATGTCACTCAAAATCAGTTCTTTTCATTCAAGGATATCTGACTACTACTGTGACACCCGTAACCCGTGTACAGTATACGGGCTGTGCCACATGGACGATATACAATAAAATAATAAATTGCGGAAGCAAAATCACGAAATCCAAAATCATTTTAAATCAAATCAGAGTAAGCAGCGGGAATACAACACGATCAGTATCGCAAAACAACACATGTCCGAATAGTCATAATTAAACCGTACAAAATGCGGAAATACAAGTCCCATCGTCCAAAATACAAATCCCGTACATGATGCTGCCTCTCTCGGATCGTCGTCGTCTGGTACGCTACGCGTAATCCTCGTGATCTGTAAAAACATATAACCACGAGGGCTAAGCACAACTGCTTAGTGAGTAGCCCGGGTTGATCCCGGTCATCCCGTTCCCAGCGAGAACGGTGATAAAACAATGGCATACAAGAAACACACAAGTAATAACAACACGTAATTATATCACATCATTCATAATCACACCCGTATGGAGTCCACCATAGGGCTTAGCCATATACCCTAGTCAAGTCCATGACTAGGAGCGCATCCACGCCCGTCAAGTCCATGACGTTGGCCGTCGTGTCGCACACGACTAAAACGCGTCTCAAACGCCCGTCAAGTCCATGACGTTGATGGTTGAGTCCACAACCATCCACAAACACAATCATGCTTGGCTCGTACGCACGAGCAAGCTACACACATGGCAAACAACATGCACATATCCCTATAGTACAATGATACGCATCACGGCATCCGGTCCCAACCGAGCTACCATTCAACGCCATGCAATTCTACCCGCAAACAATCACGCAACGGTCACTCGTATCTCAATATCGCACTCCTCACTACGCTACGCAACGTCTTGGCGAAGGATCGGTTCGATTGATCCCAATCACGAAGTTTTCTCCTTGGGTTGGAGCTTGGTTCGCCCACGGTCAAGTCTGGTCGGGCCCGGGCCAACCCCGTTGGTCGTTTCCTCTTTCCCGGTCGAAATGGAAATTTTCCTCTTTCCTCCGAGCCTGGTCCGACAGACCAAAGCCTGGTCAGATCCTGACCACAGTCCCTTCTCTTCTGGTCCGTTC